CTCGGAAAAGTCAGGATGCATTGTTCTATGTTTTTCTATGCAAAAATACATCCCGACTTTTCTGACAACCCAATACATGTTCATGTGTGTGTGTATATATATGCTTGCGCTCACCAGACAGACAGAGAGAGACAGAGAGACAGAAAGTGAGAAATCACTCCCCAGGGGGGATGGCCACGCCACAATCCCTTCTCCTCCATTCTCCTCTCAGAATCCTGGGCACGCAAGCACACGCGCCTGGCGTGAGTCTAAACCACCGAGTCCAGGACTCAAACCGCGGTTGACTATGTGGGAGTCCAGCGACATAGCCATTACGCTGACTGCTGGTCCCTCATGTGTATATATTTATATGTATGCGTGTATATATGTGTGTACACACAGGCATGTGTATGTAGGTATATATACATGTGTGTATCTGCATATGCACATACATGTGTGGGTGTTTACATAACACACACACACAAATGGCTGCGTTTTCTTCATAGAATCTAGAGCAATGACTGAGATGCTGGTTATTCCTCAGATGGGAAAGGTGAGTACAGTAAAATGAAGAGATTTGCTGAAGTTCTCTACCTGCTTCGATTTACCTATTTATAATGTGTGCAAATGCCCTTACTTCCCAACGAGTGGGTGCAGTGATGGGTGAGGTGTCTGTTCTAGAAACATTCTACTCCACAGCTGCTCAGAGCGGGAGAGTACGTGGGCAACGCTTCTGCATCTCAGTCCTGGCCCTGCCTCTGGCCCATCTGTAACTTGGTGAAAGTCACACACCCTCTTTCAGACTCAATGTTCTCCTCTGCCAAAGGAGGAAAAATGAAGCCTTCCTTGCAGAGCTGATGAGAAATCTGAACAAGACAATGCAGCTCAGTGTTTGACAGTCAAGCCCAGACAGATGGTGGCCAAGCGAAGCCCCTAACAGATCCGTAGTTCAGCCTCCACTTTACTCAGTCTTGTGTATGACACTGTTTTCTCATGAGAGCAAATTGGTCTCTCTCTTTTTTTTTTTTTTGCCATAGGGTGTGTGTACTCACCAGAGAGGGCCAGAGAGAAGGAAAGTGAGAAATCACTCCTTGTGGGGGGATGACCATGCCTCAATCCCTTCCCCTTCATTCTCTTCTCGGGATTTTGGGCACATGCATATGCGCCCAGTAAGATTTTCCAGCCTCCATGTCCAAGACTTGAACCATAGTCAGCCAAGTGGGAGTCCAGCACCTTAACCATCATACCACCAGTGACCACCTGCTGGCTCCTAACCTCTTTTAGTAAATACACCAAAGCTTCTAAGAAGTCCAGAAGAGAGAGAGAAAGAGAACGAGAGAGGGAGAGAGAGATCTGGATCCCAGAGGAATAAAGAGAGAAATCTATAAAACCATGCACACTAACAAAAGGGCCCTACTTTGAGCCTGTGTGTGTGTGTGTGCATGTATGTGTGTATATAGGTGTATGTGTGTGCATGTATGTATGTGTGTGTGTGTGTGCGCGTGCGTGCGTGTGTGTGGTCATCGCTCCCTCCCAGACTTACAGGGATTGCACAACGTTCTGCCCTTTTAGATGGCAGGGATACAAGAATGTAAAGTTTAATTTCTGCATTTTGCTAAGGATGTGCATTATTTCAAGTCTGGGAAACTTCAAAATAATTCGGTTGTCTTCTGTGTTTTGTCTCATTAGGTACAGGCAAAAAAAAGTTCTTTACTTGTTTTCCATACCAATATACAGTTTGGGTTTTAATTAAAACAAGAACCAAGCTCTTGACCAGAGAGGAAAACCACACAATAGCCTAGTCCGTGTAATAGGGCGATGGCTGGGGAGTAAGCAGGCGAGTTTCCAACGAGGCCATCTTTTCCCCAACACCTTTCTGCAGATGTAATGCGCACGTTCCTCCCCGTTCCGCACTTGAGCAGGAAGGGGGCTTCAGGGCTGTCAGGGTAGAGGTTTATGGAACCCTGAAAACACAAGCACGTTCCCAGGGAACTCCATGTGTTTTCATGCCCGTGAACTAGCGCGTTAAAAATAGGTTTTCAGTTTAAGCATTTGAATAATCCCATTTTGCCCTTAAAGCACCTAGTTTACCTAAACATGATGAGAACAATCATTTCATTATTTAAAAGGCTATCTCTACTTCTTTCTCCATGAATCATGAAGGCCACGATAACAATTCCAGCATATTTAAGATATTAAACGTGGATCAAACTGAGCTGTAGTAACATACTGTGTTGTAAAGATTGCCACTCACAGGAGAGCTGCTTCAGTTTCCAGTGGATTCAAACACCAGGATTTCTCATCTTCAGGACTAGCGACACTTTGAGCTAGGTAATCCTCTGTCACAGAGAACTGTCCTGTGCATTGCAGAATGTTTAGAAGCATCCCTGGTTTCTACCCATTAGACGCCAGAAACATCTCCCCAGTCTAACAGTGAAAACTGCCTCCAATGTGAAATATTCCTGGAGTGGGTGGAGACAGGGATGGCGGGGATGTAAAAATGGCCTCTGATAAGAACCACTGCAATAAACTAGATTCACCTTGGAGAAGCAGTCAAGCACTGGGCTAAAAGTCAATATTCTGAAGACAGAAGCTCCTGATTAGCTGGGGAACACCAAACTAGTTACCTCTGCTCTTCATGCTTCAGTGTCCTCATAGAAAAAATGAAAATAATACCCGTACTTTCTTCTGGGGATTGTTGCGAGGATTCAACCATGCTATGTCTGTCCCATCGTAAATGCTCACTAAATGTTAACCGTTACCATTGTTCTCCTCAGTTCTATGCAGTATCAACACTTGGTTCGAGTTTAAATGCAGGTTAAAGATCCAAACAATGGACACTATTTAAGAGGAGTGAGTTTGGGTGCACTATACGTTTACAGATGTATATACATATACACCTTTATTTATGGTGCAGCACGGTCTACTTATAGAAGTTCAACATTGCATAGTTCTGTGGCTCAGTTTGCTAAGTAGCTTCAGTTATTGCTTAACATATTATTTTTCAAGTGGAGATTCCTAGTTCATCAAAATTAGGGGCTGTAGCCAGATGACTCTTCTGTAAATACAACTGCTCTTTTTTTTAAATTAATTTATTTATTTTATAACAAAAATCTTGACATCATGCCTGGTCTTTTCTCTTGAGTTCTTTCTTCATCATTGCTCATGTAAATGTTATTGTATTATTCACTGAAATAATAACTACCATTTTTAAGAACAACTTACTGTGTTTCACATATATCATTATTTTGCTCGATCTTCAATATGAACTTAAGTTGTTAGGTGGTTATCTAAGTTACTATGCCCCGAATCATCTAGCCAGCAGAGGTCCAAACCAGGTAGGAGCCCCGACTGGCTGCCTTCGAAGGCTCTTACAATATAACTGTATGATCAAAGCTCATAGAGCTACCACCCAACCCCTGATCATAACACAAATTTCCCTCTGACAGCACTTTCTACCCTACCCACATCCCACCACACTGTCATTCATTTGACTTGGTTTTCCTCAGTTCAAAATACCTTGAGGGGGAGTTGTCATAAAAGAACCATGCTCTAAACAGTTTCAAGTTGACCATAGTGATTTAGACACAGAGAGAGAGAGAGATTATGGAAAAGAAGCTCACTTACAATGGACTTACTAATAAAAATGGTCTAGAAGCTAAAATAGGAAAAAGTTGAATTTACATTACTTTGGTACCAAAAAGACTCATCTAAGGGTGTATAAAATAGGTGACTGGTCACACTCATCCCAATAATCCGATTTTTGTCGCAGTACGTCTATTTCACAAGTTAAGTCATGAAGCAGAGGAAAGGAATGGCTGCTACAGGCATGTTAATGTCAATTCACTCTTTGGAGACAACTTCCACTGGGGACCCAAAGCGCTTGGCCCTGTGAGATCAATGGAAGATAAGGTCAAAAACTTTGAGCTTAGAGGTCTTGGGAAGAAAAGTTACACCTCCTACTCTCAGAGTTAATTCGGTTTTGTTGGGCACGAGAGGTTAGCATCTTTATGGGTTTGGTAAAATGGACTGTGTGGCCCAAGATAACTCACACACACGGTTCTGGCCAAGGTGTGTCTAGCCAATCAATTGAGAATAGCCCTGAGTTAACACGAAAGCAGCAGGAAGTTTGTGGGTGTTTCAGAAACTGGAAAAAACTCATCAGCCCACAGTATGACTGGATTAAGCAGGACCACAGAGGTCAGCTGGCCCCATCCTTGTCAATGTATGATTCTTCCTCCATATTCCTCTCAAGGGTCCAATGTGTGCTCTCATTCCTATAGAGGTGGGAAGAGTTCCCTTTATTATTCATTGACTAATAAATACCACATTGGCTGTTCTGTTCCTCAGTCCTTGAGGACTCTACAGAGTTCTGGCAGAGAACAGCCAGTCATGTAAGGGAGCTGGGAATTAACATTCATAATTATTATTCATAGTAATTAGGTACATGATTAACCCTATCAACATGCCTACTAAATGCAGACACTTTAAAAATATATTCCATCGATAATTTTGACAACATTGGAACAGATTAAGGATAAGAAGCTCAGTAAGGTTAAATGCCTAGCCTTCTGAAGCTTTGTCTGCCATTCAGACAAAAACCACACTTTGAATGTATGCCATCAATTTTTGGTTTGTTTATTTTGTTTTTGCTTTAGGGTGCGTGCGCTTGCCAAAGAGAGAGACAGAGAGAGGGGAGAGAGAGGGGGGAAAGTGAGAGTTCACCCCCTGAGGAGATGGCTATGGCACAATCCCTTCTACTTCATTCTTGGGATTTTGGGCACACACGCACACACATGTGCCCAGCGTGTCTTCTACACCACTGGGTTCGGGACTTGAACCGTGGTCAGTCATGTGGAAGTCCAGCAGCCTAACAACCATACCACCTGCTAGCCCTATGCTGTTAGCTTCTAAATGTAGTTGGAAGAGTTGAGGATGTGTCGGCTGTAATGGAAAAAGTAATCCATGAAGTCGAACGCAGACTATCTTAAAAGTATTCCTCACAAGGAAGTCATACTTACAGATATGTCATCACTAAAGTCAATCTCATCCAAGTCAAGGTATTCAGGGGCTTCCATTATTCTTCTCTGCACATTTTGAGTAAGGTCAAATACTTATAAATTCCTGGACAAAACAGAAGCAGAAAAGAAAGGCAAAAATGTTAGCTGCTTTATAACCAAAAATAATATCTGTATTTAAAGAACTAGAATGGAGGTCACTGGATGCTAGGGCTGCCGGGGAGGGCATTTCCCCCTATTGCGCTTGCCTGGCTGGCTTCCGGAAGAGCAAGCTGAGCTCTGCGGGGTCCGCGGCCTGCACCCCAGTGGGCACCCGCTCTTCGCTCTACTTGACTTGTGCCTGCTTGTCTGTGTCAGGACAGTGGCGGGGGGGGGATCTTCCCCGAGGATCACACTCGGACTCACGGCAGCACGCGCCCAGCTCTCAGCACACCTTCCAGGGGTTTCCGGCCGGCGGCCCTGGACACTGCGCACAGCCACCGCCCCGGGGTCTCCACAGGAACAGGACACGCGCCACGAGACGCCGATGAGCAAGAGGAATGGGTATTTCAGAATGTGTAACCCACCAAAATAAGAAAGAAAGAAAAGGGCATCTAAGCGCAGATCTCACCAGAGCTCTGCGGCGGCCTCTGCTTCCTGCGCTTTGCCGGAGCACGGTGACCGGGACAGGGGACCGGCCGCAGTCAGCACTTGCCCACGGGCTGCCGGGTGAGTCTTTAGGTCTGACAAGGGAAGCTGCATCACTCCGACTGTCTCGCCACCACTTATCATGGCCACCATCGGGGGTGGCGGTGGCACCTACAGGCGCCAAGGAGAGAGATCTCCCGGGCAAGCCCTCGGGTGCAGCTGTCTTCCCTCACCAACTCTCAGACACTGAAGCAAAACTCCACGGCCCCAAATTTGCCTTTTTTCATAAAAACTGTCCCACGTCATCAAACTTGCATATTTGAAACAATTCATTCTGCCCTTTCAGGTTTCTAACCAAGGTGCCTTGCCAAGCAGGAAGGTGTAAGTTACTGAAAAGTGAAACTACATGCAAGCTGATGCAAATGGGCTTCCAAGGGACCAGCAGTTAGCATAATGGCTATGTCGCTGAACTCCCATGTAGTCGACGGCGGTTCGAGTCCCCAATCCGGTGGCTTAAACTCACGCCCGGTGTGTGTGTGTGTGTGTGTGTGCGTGCCCAAGATCCTGAGAGGAGAATGGAGAAGGGATTGCAGCGTGGCCATCCTCCCTGAGGGGTGATTTCTCACTTTCTGTCTCTCTGTCTTTCTGGCCAGAGCAAAAACCAGTCCAAAAAAAAAAAAAAAAAAAAGGGCTCCCAATATAAGATCAAGAATGCAAATAGACCGAGTTTAACATTTTTTTAATTATTTAATTTTATTTATTATTATTATCGTTATTATTTTAAAGTTTGCTATAGGATATGTTTGCTCCCAGAAAGAGGCAGAGAGAGAGAGAGAGAAAGTGAGAAAGCAAGCCACCAGGTCCAGGATGTGAACCACTGTTGGCCATGTGGGCTTCCAGCACCATAATCACCACGCCACTTGCTGGTCCAAAAAGATCTAGTTCTAAAAACAAGACTTATTCCAGAGACGTCTGTTTGTGGGACCAGCAGTTAGCGTATTGGCTATGTCGCTGGACTCCCATGTAGTTGACCATGGTTCGAGTCCTGGACCTGGTGGCTTAAACTCACACTGTGTGTGTGTGGGTGTGTGTGCCCAAGATCCTGAGAGGAGAATGGAGGAGAAGGGATTGCGGCATGGCCATCCCCCCTGGGGATGATTTCTTGCTTTCTGTCTCTCTGTGTCTCTGTCTTTCTGGCAAGCACATGTGCCCTGTAGCAAAAACCTCTCCAAAAAGAAAAAAAAAAGACATCCGTTAGTTTTTGTTTGTTTGTTTGTTTGTTGTTGTTGTTGTTTTGGGGGGGATTGTTCTTTTTTTTTTTTTTAAAAAAAGCTATACAAATAGTACAATTACACTAAAGTGAAAAAGAGAAATCACCATACCTCAATTTCAACAACAGATTTAATTTTCCACGTTTCTTTTTCTAACCTTCCCATATGCGTACATCATTTTTACATCATTTTAATTATGGTAGAATCCATTCAAGAAAGGGTTAGGAGGCTAGTTCCATATTCAAATCAGATATCCGCTTAGAATAAACAATGAAGTTCTTAAATCACGGGAAAGTACAGAAAGAAAAAAAAGAACCAACCTGTATTTGTAAAAACTACTTTAAACCACAAGTTTTATTATTTTAGAAATCTGAAAATAGGATCTCAAACAAATTGCGTGGCATAAAAATACATTACTTCTCTAATCCTCACGGAGCTTTCAGAGGAAAACGCACACTCTCGTACTTGCGGAGTACTCAGAGTAACTTTCTCTTCCACTCTGATGGGTTCTGAGATAATCCAGACCCTTTGGACTTCAGCTTGTTGGCTAACAGATTTTCTTCCAATCCAATTTCTCTGCACTAAATCCTTCTCCATGATGAATTGTTGATTTAAAGACTATTCCCATGGCCTTGGAGAACACCACAAAAATGATGCCGAGAACCAGGAGGTGACATAGACTCACACGGTACCAGCGCGAACGTGGAAATACAGGCGGAGGAAGCCAAAAACATGCATGAGCATGGGGCCTGAGAGGCTCTTTGCAGATACGACATAAGACGCAGATGAACACATCTTAGCGAGCAGTCACAGAACACCTGCTTGAACAACTCTGACAACGTGCAGTGCGAGATCGGCCGGAGTGTAGCTGCTGTCGTGGGAGAGAACCAGTGGGTCAGGGGAATCATGACATTGAGGTAGAAAATCTTTCTGTTTGCACTTCCAGGGTGCTTGTGAGATTCTCTACTCTAGAGGCCAGAACGCAAGGGCCACGGCAGTAGCACTCCACTAGGGGACACTGCACCGCCGTCCCATCATCTCAGTGGGCTGGATGACCCCACCTCAGACAAGTGTTCCAGGAATCTAGGCTGCTCCCTTATCTCCCACAGGCCTCCACCTGCTGCCATTTTCCTCTAAAGACCTGACTCTGTCGGCCATCCCCTTTCTCTGCCTGGTTTCACTTCTTTCTTGCATGTGGCAAGCCTTCCTCTCTCACTGATAGCATGCAGACATCGTCATGGGTCACCTATTCTGGCTGTGTTTTCAACAGGAACTGCCTCTACATCGTCGACGTGAGTCTGCAGTTGTCCAGGGGCTCAATACAATGGCTTCCCCTCCTCTCCTGCCTTTCCACGGGCAATCAGCAGCCCTGGACACTCTTTACTGAGGAATTAAGGCCAAACCAGGAAAGGTAAGGCCAGACCCGAACAGCTGCTGCAAATGACCGAGGGCTCTAAGGAAACCGAGCGAGACTGTGGTTGCTTTGCCACCCTGACCACCCCGCACCCATCCACCATGGACACCGACTGCTCCTTTGCAGACTGACGGCCCATGTGCTCCAGAGACAGACTGCCAGAATGCACGTCCGGAGGCCGCAAGCTGTCTGGCCCACAGATGTGTGAGTCTGGCCTTCACAGTGTTTAAGAGAATCGGCTAGGTTGCCAACTGGTAGACCTTGGGTGATTTCACATAAAATTCTGGATTCCTTGCTTCACTTAAAAGAAAATATCTGATGCTCTGGCAACACAGGTTCGCCTTCCCTGTGGCAACAGTTGGCCAGAGCTGGACACAGCAGTTCCTACCTGTCTGGGAGGTGTCACCAGAGCCCCTTCCAGGCTGCTCTAGGCATCAACACGCCTTGCCTGGCCTTGGGGACATCTGAATGTTTGACCTTTCAAAGGGATTCAGTATTAATAAGTAACTCCCTTTCTTTTTTTATTTTTGTTTAAATCGATGCTGCCTGCCAAAATGTTGACTTCATTTGTATTCTAAGATGGAATTTGTATTATAAAACTGTTTTAAATTCTCATACCACAGCAGTAACAAAATAAAATGTCTTACATATAAATTACTAGCATGTCATGGTTTGAATTTTCAGAGCCTCCATTTTATCTCAGTACCAAGGGAAACACCTTTCACAAATGTCTTCAACTGTAACAGGGTGGGGATTTTGCTCCCTTCATATTACAGCAGGAGGACGGGGGCGGGGTGTTCTGGCTTTGCTGTGTTTGCATGGATTTCCGTGGTGCCTTCACCATGTGACTAGAGGGGAAGTGGGGAGCCCAGGAAAAGATCCCGAGCCGTCTTCTATCTCACCCACACCAGCAGCCTGGAGACCAGAGGGTTGACCCTGCTCAGGAGACAAGACAAGGCTTATGCCAGGGCTAGCAGATGGCATGGCAGTTAAGGCACTGGACTCCCACATAGTTAGTCATGGTTTAAGTCACAGACCTAGTGGCTTGAAAATCACACCGTGTGTGTGCATGCCTGCCGCAAATCCCAGAAGGAGAAGGGAGAAGGGATTGCAGTGTACCAATCACCCCCTAGGGGGTGTCTCTCTTCAGTGAACGCATGTGTCCTATGGCAAAAAGCAAACAAAAAAAATCAAACAAACAAACAAAAAAACAGAGTAGGTTTATGCCAAAGTGAAAACTATTTTTCAGGATCCCCAGAAAGAGCAGCTGGATTTAAAATCCCTTCCATGAGATTTTCAATTTTACGTATCTCCATTGGCCCTGGGCCCTTTGCAATCGCAGGATGTCTCATCTGCAAAAGTGCACCACACCCCAGCCCACAGCCCTGCCTCTGCAAGCTGCAGTCACTCATCCAACCTCGCCGAGGTCTCGTGAGGGCCTCTTGGTGCTGCAGTCCTCCCCTCCACACACCTCTGTGAAGGCCCGGCCATCTGAAGTACTGTTGGCTGGCTGAATTCATTCCATTTCCGGCTCACCTGCGCTGTTAGTTTCTCTTCACGGTGTTGACCATTTTAAATCTGTCACTCCCTCAGGCATGTATTCTTTGTTTATTTATGTATTTATTTATTGGAAGTGGGGAGGGGTGGGGTGAGGAGGATAGGTGGTGGGAGTACACAGAAAGGTCAAGGAAATATTTCCTAATTGTTAGATCACCTGAATTTGAGTAGGAAAAGCGGTAGGGAGGGATAAAGGAAAAAGAACATGGGGACACAGGGCCAGGTGGCTGGGACCTG